TACTAGAAAGGGGAAAAAGAAGGGAAAAAAAAAGCATTGGCAAAGGAGTCTCAGAAACACGTGGTCGTTATCAGCACACACACGGTCGCAACTGGATTTTTGAATGAGAATTACACTGGCCGCCTACTTTTACTGAGCCAGGCTATTTGATCAAACATATAACATAAAGACTAAAATGCAAACTATATTGTTTGATCAGATAGCCTGGCTCAGTAAAAGTAGGCAGCCAGTGTAAATCTGATTGAAAATCCAGTTGCGACCACGCGTGTTCTGATAACGACCACGTATTTCTGAGAATCCTTTGCCAATGCTTTATTTTTCTATTTTTTCCTCTTTCTAGTAATTTTGTTCTCCTGATGAGGAGGGTCCTTTAGCTGCCCTCGAAATCAAATGAGTGTTTAACATATGAGTGTTTTAACATATGTACGCTAAATACAAGGTTGTTATTGCGATTTTAATTGTCACATTGGCATGTTTCTCTTCTATTCAAGAAGTACATTATTTTGTGGTTTACACGGCAAAATGGCTGAATGTAGTAAGACTAATTTGAGCCATAATAATTGTTCTGTTTATAGGAAAGAAATGCCTATGGTCGAACGTCTGATGATACCAACACTATGGAGGATATTTTTGACTCTTACTTTTGAGATAAAAACGTCTTACTTTCGTTTTGACTTAAGTGAAGCTCAAACTTATGTGAAGCTTCATCATTTCGACTTACGTGAAGCTCAAAACTGCTAATGGAGTTTTCAAAAAGGCCAATTCACAAACTTAGTGTCTTGCCTATGAGTGCTTAAGTTTTTTTTGCAAAACATTATAACTATGTACTTTGCTTTACATATACCCTCTTTTGAAAAAAAAAAAATCGAAGCACTAAGAAGGACTTTTGCGATCACGACCAAATTTGGTAAGCAAAAACATCTTGATCGAGCATGCAAATGATCAAAGTTTTAAGGCAAATGAAAATGAATTGTGATCATAGCGCACATTTCTAGTGCGCAATTCACAAAGTATAAAGCCAGTAACAGAGGATGAAAATTTATCTCTTTTTTTGTTGCTGCCATTGTAATTCCATAAAGAAGCAACTAAAGATGCCATTATGACGATATCAAAAACCTTACAGACAACTAAACGACTTTGAATGTGGTCGCATTGTAGGGTTGCATGAAGCTGGGTGGTCATACCGAACAATAGGCCGTCACCTGCAGCGTACAGACACTGCTGTGCAAAGCCATTGGCAGGAATGGTTGCTACAAGGAAATTGATGACGAAATGAAGGCTCTGGAAAGCCAAGTATCACAAATACGAGGGAAGATAGGATGACTGTTCGCCAGGCCCGAACTGCCCCAACAGTATTATTGCCAACTATTCAACGCACTACAGCCACATCTATACCTCCCGTGGTACCGTCCACCAGGTATTTAGATTTGAAATGATGTTTCAATGCTGGACGGAATGTTTTGGCCACCAGATCATCTGCCTGTCTCCGAGATCTTATTTCGCAATGCACAGTTCACATTTTTGCTTTTTGCAGTCTTGTAAGCACTTACTGTAACTAATGCTTTGCTATTTGCTGCGTTATGTTTGCTACGTTAAGTTGAAAACCGCTGAAAGATAAGATAAACTTTACAGTCAACTCGCAAATGTTGTATCCTCGACGTTTATTAATTTGATACCGCGATGCAACGCAGGCATATAACTATTCATATAAAATTTTTGTCAAATTCTATCAGTTTCACTTAGAAACATTTTCAATTTAAAGATTATTAAAGCTGGAAGATGCAGAATTTGATTTCTGAAGTTAATAATTGCATAAATTACATTAAATGAAACATATCTACACTATAGAGAAATAAACACAATAATAGCCTTCCAATATAAAAATAACAGTAAACAAATGACTAGAAAAACTTTTATATAAATTATACATATATTATTATACAAATAAAATGAAAAAATAAGATTAGAGTAATTTAAAGGTACCCGTTGGATTATTGCTAAACTGTTTCATTTATCGCCAAGTTGCTGTTTCATTTATGGTAAGTTGAATGCTATGGAAACCCTATTATGACATAATTGGTTGCGTGCTTGTGGTGAATTTGAATGATGGGAAAAGATTTGGAGAGGCTTGTGTGTGTCAGATTTTGAATAAGAAGTACATTATTTTGTGGTTTACATGGTAAAATGGCTGAATGTGGTAACACTAATTTGAAGTTTCTGTATGATTGGGAACAAAAGAGAAAAAAAGCAATAATTGACTGGTGTGTAAATAAAGGTTTACTTAGTAGCCATTATAAGTGCCCTGTTTGTAGGAAAGAAATGGTCAAAAGTCGGATGATACTGGCACTACGGAGGATATTTTTTACTCTTACTTTTGTGAATTTATGTGGGGATGTTAGCATACGCATTCTAGTTCAACTAATTTTAGGAAGTTTTGGGATGCTGTTAAGGAATTTTGTTTGATTGAAGATGTGGAAATTTGTAAAAAAGAAAGTGGATATTTCCTTCGTGTAGTGCTAAGATGAATTTCCTTTTTTATGTTATTTCATAGTTTGATTAAAAATGTAGTTTATTGAGATTGTATATTTTTTGTTGGTGACTTGAATATAGATCGATGTGTACATGGATAAAGTTAAGGGAGTGCACAATGCCTAGTTTGTGCAATTCTCTGATGCTTTTTAAAGTGAAAATAGGTCAACTTGTACATAGATACCAAATTTGTGCAATTCTTTGACTTGTTGTTTTGGATTTGTGTACTACTACACAAAGCCAAAATAGCAAGTCAAAGAATTGCATAAACTCAGTGTCCATGTACCGCCTTACCAAAAATAAAACACGATTAATTTGTAACTAATAACCTGGCTAACAAACGTTACACAAAATCATGCATAATGATCTATGTTGAGTATATCACATTCTAAACACTAAAATAAAATGAAATACCCAAGGCAATTACAACAAAATACAATATCAACTTGTTCTAAAGTTTTGTTACCTCTTCCATACTTCAACATAAGAAATTCTCTAGCTAAATACTTTAGTAAAATAATACAGGTTTATTCCAAAACCTAACTTAATTTTACATAACAGTAAAAGCAATAATTTAATTTAATATGCAACTCAAGAGAGTAAAATTTACACACACACACACACACACACAAAAAAAAAAAAAAAAAAAAGACATGAAATTTTAAAATTATCTTTATAAACATAAAACTTCGCATTATTTAGATTTGAATACTATCTACAAATACCTCATAATCAGGTGTGTATCTTACTTCAGTTTATTGAAAGTGGTCTTACAGTTAAAATGCATTCAAATAACATTGTACACTGTGCCAAAAAAAAGGGGGAAAGAGTTCTATATCTCTTATTCTACTATGCAATTAATAATATTCAAATTGTGTTTTTCATGTCTCAAAAGCGTGATTTAGGATAGATAGTAGATTTATATATAGCATAGTTCTAACATAGGTATTTTGACACAAAATCGGACTTTTTCTGAAATAGCATACCAATTTGTTTCCTTATTTCGATTTTATAACTCAAATTATGCCCAAAATTTAAATTTTGTAAAATTTGGTGCGCAATTTACAGAGAAATTCAAAAATTTATCTTGCCATATGTTTTTCAGTTTGCACCAAGAATAATTCACTTGGCGAACTTCTTAATATGTGACAACATATTTTCCTTTCCCTTCCATTGTGCAGGAGAGGAAAAAAAGATGCATTGTTCCTACATTTGTACATTGTGCAGGAGCGAGGAAAAAGTCACATCGTTCTTACCTTCAAATAACTTTAACAAAGTGCTTAAACCACATTTGATCTTGTTATTTATTGCTTTCAACAAATATGCCAAATTTCAATATGCAGCACTATACACTGCTCGACACTGAAAATGCAACACCAAAGAATGGTCAGAAATTTATGCAAATTTTAGATTAGACGCACGTCACTGAGTCATGTGAATGATGTGAAATGCGCAACTCTCCGACACACGTGAAGTAAGATATACGGGAAGGAATGTGCAGAATGGGCAATATTCATGTTGTTATTTCTGCCAGACGAATTATCGAAGAAAGTTGGTTTTTGTCCCGGAGGATATGTGTAATAGGAGAAAAATGACAGGCCGCCGTCAACGAAGGCATTTCCAGCAGATACACGACTTTATGAGGAGTACGGTGGTCAGACTCAGAAGGACGGCTTGGTCCTTCCATCAAATTGCAGCTGATACTCACATGGATACGAGCACGGCGCATCGGCTACGGCGAACATGGTTGGAACAAGGAAATGTGGGAAGGAGGAGGTGCAGGTGCAGCCAGAGTGAGCCGTGAGTGACGTATGCACGCGTGGATTGATACATCTGCCGAAAAGCTGTGGCGGTCCCACAAATCACTTGTACCGCGATTCTGCAACATGTGCAAGATATCCTGAATGTTCCCGTGTTGACCAGAACCATTTACGGTCGATTGGTTGAACGTGGCCTGCCCTCATGGCATCCGTTAAGACTGCCATTGACCCCCACAGCATAGATGCCAACGTTTAGAATGGTGCCGGACTGGAGTAATGTGGATGACAGAATGGCGAAATGTGGTGTTCTCAGATGAGTCACGCTTCTGTTTATCTAGTGACGGTCACCGCATACGTGTGTGGCGTCGACGTGGAGACAGATCTAATTCAGCAGTAACTGTGGAACTTAGAATTAGCAATAACTTATTTTTTTGTAGCAAAGTACACTTATTACCAATAGAAAACTGTGGATAATGTTTCAGGAATTCAGGATAATGATAGTGAAACACTTTGATTTAACCAGCAGCTGGGCTTGGAATTTGCCTATCAATTTATATGTAGAAAAATTTTCTGCAATAAATACAATTGGCATTTACGTTGGTAACTGCTTTTATGTTTACTTGTCTTTAAACAATAGTATCCTGTGCATAAATGACGAGAGTTAAATTATAATGCTTTGTTACAGTATTTTAAACTTTAAAATTCACTTACCAACATTGGAGGTGCTCTAAACATGTAACTAAAAGGGTAATACATCAAATTTAAGAATGTGCATGCATATAAATCAGCATAATGGCAGATCTGATTAGCAAAAAAAGTCTGCCTTGAACCTGAAAAATAAATCATGCATATTACACTTGATAAATAAATCATGCATATTACACTTGATAGAAAGAAAAGGTACGTAGAGGGGAAAATTATCATAAGAAAAAAACAAGGCCATACCACTTCTGAAAGTACTGCCTAAGATACCATATGACATATCAAGCTCATGAGATACTTCCTAAGAAAAAAATATTCAAGGTTAAAACTTTGTTTATAAAATGCACAAGCATATAAACAGTAATTTAAAACAGCAACTAACTGAATTTCTAATTTTTTAATACATGCACATAACAGCTACTAATCATGAAATATGAAATATTTGGAGGTTTACACTCTAGAACATGATGCAATTTAAAAAAAAACTTGAATTTGACAAATTTAAGTATTTATTATAATTTTAACTTAAATGACTTGAAATTGACAAATTTAAGTATTTTTATTTTATAAGACATAATTAAAAATATTAAACTAAATTTTAGCTTATATTTTTTGGTTAATTTCCCCCAATTTTTTAATTATCTTTAAGATTTTACACAATTGAAACCTTGTAGAAGAAGAAATTGAAATGTTTTAACCATGGCAAAAAGTAAAATAATAATTGTGAACATAGTTACTTCAATAAAGTTTATAATCTATCATACATAAATTTTAAGAAAATTAAATGTAAATTCATACTTGTTAAATCTTAAGCTTTAATAAAGTATTGCTTAGTGTTAAGTTTAAAAAGGTGAATCAGAGGCTAATGATAATTAAGTAGAGTCTTTATTAAAAAGATGGAATTAATCACGCACATGGCATAGCACACTTCTACATATCACACCAAACTACACTACAACGACTGTTGCGAATACAACCTAAGCAAAAATATAAACAGTTACAGTTAATATACATATAACATCAAATCATAAACCAGGGGATAAGTCTGATTGTTCTCATGGGTTTAGGCAAGCATTTTGTAAACAAATCAGCAAACTGATTTTCACTAGAAACATACAAGGTGTGTTCCAAAACTTCGGTGATTGGTCTCAAAATTAAAAAATCATTCCGGTTAGGATCTTGCACTCATGCAGACGCAGTGAGAGAAATGTCATCTAGAGCCATCTAACGGCCATTTTACAACAGATAAGAGGAAGCGCACACTATGAGCAGTTTAACACAGTCAGTGTGAGAAAGATTGTCAGTGTGACATGGAGCAACGCATAAACATAAAGTTTTGCTTCAAGTTAGGCAAAATGGCGACGGAGACACATGACATGTTAGCGAAAGTTTACAGTCAGGAAGCAGTGAGTAAAAGGTGTGTTTATGAGTGGTTTATATGCTTTACAGACAGAAAGGAGGATGTCAAAGATGAGCCATGATCGGAGCACCCTACAACAAGCACAACTACAGACAATGTGGATCGAGTTTGATGGATGCTTGTGGCAGATCGACGGCTATCTTTAAGAATGATAGCTGGCGAATTGCAGATAAACCTAGACAGTGTGAGCACCATTGTGCACAAACATTTGCATAAACGCAAGATATGCACCCGGTTTGTACCGCACTCGCTGTCAGATGAGCAAAAGCAATACCGGATGGAAACCTCTGGAAATTTTATCGACATGTGTGACTGAAATCCGCAATTCTTGGAAACAATAATTACAGGGGATGAGTCGTGGTGCTATCAATACGATCTGGAGACCAAGTGGCAATCCATGGCATGGTGTTCAACGTTGTCACTCACCCCCTCCCAAAAAATCTGATGTGTACACCACATGACTTCCTTGTACGGAATATTAAATTATACGCATTTTTTCTTGCATTTTATTTAAACTCATTAGGTGCGGCCGATTGCAACCAAAATACGAGGTGCACAGCTACATATTTGTCCTATATACAAAGTTTCAATGTTCTGAGGCTACTCGTTTTTGAGATATGCGAGATACGTACGTACGTTCGTACAGACGCCACGAAAAATTCTCTTCAGAATTAATTCTAAAGCAGTTTTATAATTTTTTTGAAGGAAAAGAGTATTTTATTCTGTCCTTACGTACAGATATGACGCAAAAACATCGTTAAATTGCATTCGATAGCGGTCAAAATGGATATTTTTGTTGAAATATGCTGCCTAAAACTTTTCGCGATTACAATACTTCCTTTTTACTTCATACAAGGAAGTAAAAAAGTCGTTTGACACAATCCAGGATCAAGACGTTGTTGATCGTCTTTTTCAACAGTAAGGGTTTGATCCATCGTGAATTTGTACCTGCGGCTACAACCGTCAATGCGGAATACTACAAGGGGGTTTTGAAACGGCTGCTGCTACACATACGCTGGATTCGGCCACAGTACTGAAATGGACAGTGGAATCTGCTCCATGACAACGCCCGGCCGCACACTGCGAACTGTGCAACCCAATTCCTTGACAGGCACCAGGTTCCAGTTTTGGATCACCCTCCATATTCTCCAGATTTGGCTCCCACCGACTTCTTCCTGTTTCTCTGCCTCAAAGGAGTTCTGAAAGGCCAACACTTTTCTGACATTACTGAGATCTAACAACGTGTGACCACGGTGCTTCGAGCCATACCGAAAGCATTTGCAACAGTTCCAAATGACACCAGCAAAGTGATTTTGGTGTCAAGGCAATACTTTGAGCGTAATATTTGCTGTTCTTTTTTTCTTTTTTTTTTTTTTTATGGTAAAATTCACCAAACTTTCGAACACACCTTGTATACAAGATTTATATCATACAATTTTACAATATCCCTAATATACTTTAATATCCAAATGTTTTAGTCTAGCACAATTACTTTCATTTAATATTGCTTTAATTACAGACTGATTATCCTCATAAACTGAAACTTTAATATTGTCGACTCCTAAAATTTCTTTAGATACATTATAAAATACACAGTTAGGTTCTGAATAGCTTTTGCTAAAGCCAAAATTTCTGCCTCAGTAGAGGACAGAGCAATAGATGTTTGCTTTTTAACAGACCAAGTTACAGGACAATCATTAAGAAAAGAAAATAATATACCCAGAAATAGATTTTCTATCATTTGTATCTGACCTCCAATCAGCATCAACATAAACATTTAACATAATATCAACACTATTAGATTTACAAAATAATAATTTGAGTTCAGATGTCCCTTTTAAATATCGAAGAATTTGCTTCAGACCAGCCCAAGCACTGTTAGTGGGTTGCTCTTGTATCTGACTCAGACAGTTCACAGAAAACAGAATATCAGGACGAGTTGTCATAGATAGGTACAGCAAAGCACCTACAAGTTCACGATAATGGCCATGAAATCTTTCACCATTCATAAAATTTGATTGATTTAGGCACTAGGGGAGTATCAGATGGCTTACAATCTAACATTCTAAATCTATTTAACAATTTTTCAACATAAGCCTTTTGGCCTAAAGTAAGTTTGTTCTGTGAATATTCAAAACTTATTCCTAGAAATTCATTTGCAACTTCAGCCTTGGACATCTCAAATTCATTTCTAAGTAATTCAATCACAATTCTTACCTCTGAATCATTAGAACCAGCAATTAGCAAGTCATCCACATACAGCACAATAAATATTTCACTCTGTTTAGTTCTCACAAAAGTACATGCTTCACAGTTTAGTTGTTGGAAGTTTAACTGAATTATAAAATCAGTAAATCTCTTGAACCACTGCCTCGGTGCTTGCTTAAGTCCATAAAGACTCTTAAGAAGCTTGCACACACGACCACTGTTGTCACTGTAGCCCATTGGTTGTTCCATGTAGATTGTTTCTTTTCTTGGAGATCACCATTCAGAAATGCAGTCTTTACATCTAATGCATAGATTTCAAGATTCTTTTGAATAATGATAGCCAGCACAAGTCGAAGTGATGATGTACTAATTTACAGGAGCATAGGTCTCAAAGTAATCAATGCCTGGCTTCTGTTCAAAGCCACGAGCAACCAGTCTAGCTTTGTAAACATTGTTTCGTTTGATGCGCAACACCCATTTACAGGATATTGGCTTTTCATCCTTTGGCAAGTTGACTAACTTCCCACACTTCATTTATTTTTATTAAGAGAAGCTATTTCCTCATCCATGGCTTTCCTCCATAGGACTTGCTCTTCTTTTGGCAATGTTGTTATATCCTCATATGTTACTGTATCAAGAGTTGCCACATTAGCTTCATACACAAAGTAATCATTCAACTTTACAGGTAATTTTATATTTTTCTTTTCTTCTTTGCCTAGTAATTTCTTCATGACTTTCTTCAAGATTTCTGGATTCTACATCACTTGAATCACATATACTACTTCATCTTTAGCAGATCTTTACTTTCTATGGAAAAATCATCTTGAACTGAGATACATTTCTTTTTCTCTTCATTGAACAATACATTTCGAGAAACCACAACATGATTTGTGACTGGGTCCAGTAAACGATAACCCATGGTAGAGTATCCAATAAAAATCATCTTTTTTGATTTTGGATCCAATTTCTTTCTTAAGTTATCAGGAACTCTCATGTATGCATCAGATCCAAACACCTTAATAATATTCAAATCAGGCGGCTTCCCATATTTGAGCTTATAAGGTAGATTTTCAACAGTGTGATTTGGAATTCTATTCTTAAGATATGCAGCTGTCTGTACAGCATAACCCCAAAAAGATTTAGAAAGCTTTGCTTCACATATTAGAGCTCGGGCTTTCTCTAAAAGAAATCTGCTGGCTGTCTCAGCCACACCATTCAAAGGAGGTGAATTTGGAGGGGTAGGATCTATCACAACACCACTTTCCACCGGATTTTGTAGAGATCAGGATTCTGCTTTAGAAACAATTTAAACACTTCATTTATGTCACTCTTGTGCTTTGTGAGATGCACTTCAGTAAATCTAGAAAAATCGTCTATGATTGTAGCAAAATACTTTTCACCTTCCCTAGTGGGTGGCTCAATGGGACCACATATGTCAGTCAGTGTGTACCATTCTCATCGGCACATGCTCTCTGCTTCTAGGACCTTTGTTCATAGGAGTGTTGGAATGTTTTGCTAGTATGCACTCTTCACAAAAGCTTGAATGGTGACTCAGATACTGGCAAACCCATTTCTTTTAATACATTTTATCAGATGAGTGCCCCATTGCGCCTGTGCCATAATTCTGCACTATGATTTGCAATATGTTGAAGCTTTAACAGGTTCAAATTGAC